AGGCCACACTATGGGTGTTCCAACCAACACGCCCTGCCAAAAGCCATAACTAACCCCTGCCAGCCACCCAGTCATGAGGACTAAGACTATACAGATGATTCTACCACAGCTGGCTAGTTTTCATTAATTTGAGTCACCTGGGGCAAGGGACACTCAGTTGAAGTGTTGAAGAATTGCTTTCATCAGACTGGCCAGGGGAGGGGAGTCATTTTGTAACTACTAATTGATGCAGGAAGGCTAGCCCACTGTAAACAGTGTCATTCATAGGCGGGTGGGCCTGGGCTGTGTAAGAAAGGCAGCTAAACAAATCAGGAAGCAATCCCTCCAAGGTTTCAATTCCTGCCTCCTGGTTCTTGCCTATGCTTCCCTCCATGATAGACAGCGAAGTTTAAAATAAAATAAACCCTTTCTGTCCCAAGTTACTTTTAGACAACGTTTTATCACAGCAGTAGAGAGGTGAACTAGGATATAGCACCACAACCTTCTGTCCATGTGCATCAACCCCAGACACAGGGTAGCAGACACAGCACCCCACTCCTTGCTGTCTGTACCCCTGACCCGCAGGAGCTATCTGAAGAAATGAAAGATAAGGGATATTAATTTGGGGGGATAACTTGTTTATCACAATAGAGAAGCCAGTACAGTGCCAGTGAATGTGCACGCTTCAAATCTGGAATGGTTCTTTCTTCAAACTAGAAAACTCACCCTTATAGAAATTAATGATTCAAAACCTCAGCCTAGTAAGATTGGGATTCATACAAGTGCACATTGTTGGTTTGAACTTTTGCAATTTGAAATTTGAGGTAATTTATAACAGGATGTGTACTGAGAGGTTCAAAAACTTTAGAGTTAATTTCTGGGGCTGGGGGAAAATCACCCAGCCACATTCCTTTCAGAGCAGAGGGCCAGTAGCAGTCCCCCACCCAGATAAACCTCAGGGTGTGACTGAAGTCACAGAGCCGCTAAGAAAGCCCATGGAATGTGCTAAACCACCCCTCTGCTACAGCCTAACCTGCACATAACGAGGCAGTACTAGAAGCCAGATGTCCCCCAGGTAGCCAGACCTGACCATTTGTGGTCTTGGAGCCTAAAAACAGACCCATCATTTTAAAGGTCAGCTTCCCTAGAGACCCTCTTACCCAATCCTGTAATACCAAGGCTTGTACTACCCAGATTGTATTTTTCCCTTTAAAAAACTTATTCTCCCAGAGCGGGGGGTCTCTTGCCTCTTTGTCTTTGTAAAGGGCAGCCACCCAGCTCAGGCTTGTAATAAAAGGCCCTCATGTGTTTTGCAACAGAGTCAATTCCTGTCGGTCTTTTGGGGGCTTGCAGAGTGGGCATAACAGTATCACTGTTAAATGCTCTGCAAAGGTGAGTCTAGGTGATCTGTGCAGAACAAGAATGCTAATATAAGGTGGGATCTAGAAAAGATCATCCTGAGTGAGGTATCCCAGAAGCAGAAAGACACACATGGTATATACTCACTTTTAAGTGGATACTAGACATATAATGTAGGGTAAACATACTAAAATCTGTACACCTAAAGAAGCTAAACAAGGATGACGACCCTGGGTAAGATCCTCACTTAGAAAGACAAACGGGATGGACATTGGAAGAAAGAGGAAACAAGAAACAGGACAGGAGCCTTCTACAGAGGAACTCTGAAACAGTCTTTCTAGCAGTGTATCAAAACAGATGCTGAGACTCATACCAAACTTTGGGCAGAGTACAGGGAATCATATGAAAGAAGAAGTTAGTAAGACCTGGAGAGAACAGGAGCTCCACAAGGAAAGCAACAGAACCAAAATATCTGGGCAAAGGGGTCTTTTCTGAGACTGATGCTCCAACCAAGGACATTCATGGCGATAACCTAGAACCCCTACTCAGATGTAGCCCATGGAAGCTCAGTCTCCAAGTGGGTTCCCTAGTAAGGGTAACAGGGACTTTCTCTGATATGAACTCAGTGGTTAGCTCTTTGACCCCCCCCCCCCCCGAGGGAGGAGCAGCCTTGCCAGGCCACAGAAGAGGACAATGCACAGCCAGTCCTGATGAGACCTGATAAGCTATGGTCAGATGGAAGGGGAGGAGGACCTCCCCTATCAGTGGACTTGGAGAGGGGCATGGGAGGAGATGAGGGAGGAAGAGTGGGATTGAGAGGGAATGAGGGAGGGGGCTACAGTTGAGATACAAAACAAATAAACTGTAATTAATATAAAAAAATTAAAATTTCATTAAAAATACTAATGCTAATTAATAAACTGCTTTGAAGAACTTACATGTTCCATATAAAAAGGATTGTGGCCACTAAGCAGTAAACAAACACAAGGTGCTTCAAGATCTTCCTAGTCTCTATTTATACATTAATTTACAAAAATCATTTGGCAAATTGATCAGTTTGGTTCAAGCAAGTTACATATGTATATATATACATTGAATCTTTCATCATTTTGCCCTCCTTGAGGGCATTCTTTATCATTCTTCTGAGTCTTTGAGAATTTTATACATGCATGTGTTTTATCACACCCACTGCCCATTCCTCCAGTAAGTTCCCTATCCCTCCTACATCCTTTTCTTCCCAACTCCATGTGTTCTTTTAAAACCCAGGGGCTGGCGAGATGGCTCAGCAGTTTGGAAAGCTGGGTGCTCTTCCTGAGGACCCTTATTTGATTTCCAGTACTCACATGGTGGCTCACAGTTCCAGGGGACCCAACTCCTTCTTCTAGCTTCCATGGACACTATGTGTATATGGTGCAGGCTTACATGCAAACAAATACCCATACACATAAAATAAAAATAAAAAAAATTTAAGTCAAAGCCCACTTGATGTTGTCTGCATGCACATGGCTACAGGACCATCTACCAAAGTGTGGTAGCATCTCAAGGACTATGTAGTCCCTGAAGAAAGCTGATTCTCCCTCCCCAGGAGCCATCAATTACTGGTAACTCTTCAGCTAAAGGTGAGACTTCATCAATCCCCTCCCCCACGCATGCTGGGCTTTTGGCTGGCTTGATCTTGTACAGGTCTTGTGCAACAAGTCACAGCTTCTGTGGGTTCACGTGTACATCAGTGCCATTTTGCTACCAATGCCTACATCATGGTCTTACAGTCTTTCTGCCCTTTTCCACTGTTAAATCCCCCAGCCTTGTGGGGAAGAGGCATGAGAGAGATGTTAGATCTCTTCATCTGCTTGTCAAGTGTCACACTTGATCCATATATATGCAAATGAACAAACTGCTGTGGGGTACCTGACATGAACTATGCTTAGGCTTTTTTTTCCCCACCTCTTTTTTTCCAAAATTAGTTAGTGTTTCAATTACAAAGAGCACACAGTGGCCTCACAGTACAATGGTAGCATGTCTAACTCCAGAACACGTTGTGTAACCCCTTTGTGAACACTGAAGAATTTATTTCTGATTCAGATAAGGAATAAACATCTTCCATATACAACCACTGTGTGATGAAAACACACCCTAGTTTCTCAGGACTATGGGACACTGTTGAGCAGATTGTGTACAAGGCGAGATGCAACAGTGAGCCCCTGGGCTGTGCAATGTGGCACCCTGATCACATGGTATGACTGAGGAAATGCAGAAGTCATTCATTCCATTTCCATGCTGGTACAGGCAACAATTTACATACATTATTCTCCAAAGAGTATAGAGTATTCCTCTTTCAATAGATGAAATTATCTAATTCCTCTTATTCCCCTAGCTCAATCGCACTTCACTGTCAGTGTTATTACATCTATGCTCAGGTTATAATTCTTACTGAATCAAAACTGTGAAATGCTTATTTATGAGGTTTTGCTCTCTTCACAATTGAGCATTTCCTTCAGCAATTAGATATCTTTTCCACACACATTTATGCTGCCTGTTGATGAAGGCTGAGGAGTCTTCACGATAAAGTGGACTGAGGCATCTTCCCAGTGTTTCCAGGTTCTTATAATCACCAAAGAAAGAATTTACTATAAGACAAAGTAAGGAACTGAGGAAAGGATTTATTATAGTACAAAAAGACACACATGCAGGTGAATGAGGGTTTCTGAGTGAGATGGGATTTGAGCATGGGTTTTGGAACAGTGCATTATGGGCAAACTTTAAAAAGAGGAGAATTCTGTTTTGATTAAATAACAATAAAATAATATAATGTACCCTATTCTGCCTAATAAACATCAACTATATTTCTTCCTTTTCAAAAAAAGAGGGAAATTATTCATAAGTTAAAGTTTACTAAAGAATTCCAGAAATGGATCAAGATTTTCCCTGAATAGGGTTAATTCTCTCCCTCTTTATCTCTAAGTGGAGTTTCTGAATATGTCCTGTACCAAGTGGACAATATAAACAGATTTTTTTTAAGGTTAATGATACAGAAATACCTTTGCTATGAAGTAAAGGACTAGTTGTAGTAGTCCCAGTGGGTCATGTAAGCCATAGCCAGTTTTGCATAATCTTGTATCTGTACTGTTTGAGAAGTCACATGATGTCCTCTATAACACAGCTCTGTGGTTGTAACACCTCTAGCTGCCGTGAACTTTGCCTCTCCTTTTGCCAACCTCCATTACGATCTTCATAATTTCTCCAGTTTCAGTCTGAACATAAAAGTCAGAAGATGTGGGTCCCAGGAGAGTCCCTGGTTACAACCTAGTCAAGCCATATCAGAGTTCTACCACCCACATGAAACAAGAGTAATAGTAAGTTTTTAAAAACTGTTTCTTGAAATTTTATTTTTATTTCATGTGTATGAATGTTTTACCTGATCACATACCTGTACGCATGTATGCAGTGTTTGTGGAGGCCAGAAGTGGAATTACAGACCATTAAGAGCTGCCATGTGGGTGGCAGAATTGAACTGGGTCCTCTGGTAGAGCAGCCAGTGTTCTTAACTGGTGATCTAATTCTCCAGCCCCAATGATACTCTTTTTAAACTTACCTTTAAAAAAAAAAAGCAGACATGAGATTACAAAGCAGTGTTTTGCTAAAATCACTGAACACACTCATGGTAAAATACATAGGGAGTTTATTTTATCAGCTGTCATCTAATTTAAAATTTTTTTTCAAGACAGGGTTTTCTGTGCAGCCTTGGCTGCTGGCCTCAAACTCAGAGATCTGCCTGCCTTTGCCTCCCAGAATGTTGGGATTACAGGCATGTGCCATTGATCCTGACTAAACTGACATTTTAGTAATTTAATCAAAATAAAAACTGCAGACTTTCAGTACTACAAAACTGAATTAAGGCAGCATAGTTATTCATACTGAGAAATATATCCTGTCATGTAATCACTTAGCTGTACTAAGAAATAATTATAAAAGTAGGTAAGACTTTCATGAAAATATTTCTTTTTATTGTAGCTTAGGAATTCTTGCTCCTGTCAACAGACTGTCTGACATCCGACACTGCCTCAGGCACACGAACAGTCATATTGTCCATAGCTTTGGTCAAACAGATTTGGCAACCCAATCGTGACCTACAAAGAAAGGAAGAAGGCTCAGTTTAGTACAGGATACTTGTCATTTACAAGCCCGTAGTTGTTTAGGACATTTTTCTACTTTCTTGCCCAAAGCAACTGAAGAATTTGTTCATCTTTTAAGTTTTCATTGGGCCAAAACAGGTACCACCATCCATGTCATCTATGTCACCATGACATGCCCTCTGGTGGGCAGCAGAAGGTCAGCATCAAACAACCTGCTAGGCCAAAGCTTCATGAGGCTCTAGCATGTTACCACCTGATGGACTCAGTCAAACTTGTATTTGGTGGGATAGCTGCCATGCAGAGAAACAACCAGAGAGCATGAAGGCATGCCTGAGAACTGACCTGGCAAGCTAAGGAAACTAGTCTTCAACTCCCAGCTAAATAAAATCACAGACTAAGGCCAAGCATGGTGGCAAGAACCCATAATCCCAGTACTTGGAAGATCTAGGCAGGTCAGGAGATCATAGACATTCTAACACAGTAAGTAAGAAGACTATGCTAGGATATGAGATCCTGCCTCAGACAGTGACAACAAAAGCCTTTAAGACAAGAATGAAATTCATAGACCCAAACCATCAACTGTAAAAAATGTATTTCCCCCATATTTTTAACATCACTGAAATCAAGGTTCATCTTAAAGCCAATAGCATCTTAAAGTCACTGCTACAATGTGCGGAGACAGCTTTGTCATTGATGTGAACTTCATTACGATACACAGTGTCTCCAACTGAACAACAAGTATGTTGATTCCAAAGGTGTTAGAATTTTAACCCTTTCAAAGTAAGTCCAGAAGGATTATAAAACCAAAATTACTAGTAATAGAGGAATACAGAAGATGCAAATCTATAATCTGTTATTGGGAGAATGACCATCATTCCATTTTCTTCTCTTTCTTTCTTGCTACCTATTATGCTTCCATTAGATTTTTTGTTTTCAACAAATGTGTTGCATATGTATGGATATATTTAAATAACTCTTCAAATGCATACAGTGTATTAAGTGAAAAGATAATACTGTGCATATTTTAATCAGCAACACCTTTCTTTTCTCTTAGAAGTACAAGGAAGTTACATGTTAAGCCAGGATTAGTGGCACAAGCCTGTCATCTCAGCTACTCAGGAGGCTAAGACAAAAGGGCTACAACTTGAGGGCCAGCCTGGGCTAAAGAGTAAGTTAAATTACAGCTTGGATTTAGCTTCAGTCCAGTTTCAAAATAAAAGAGTAAATACAGGGCTGGAATATAGCTCAGTGTAAAGTACTTGGCCAGCATGTGCAAAGCCCTGGGTTCAATTCTAAATACTAGAACAAATAGTTGCTCTTACATACAAACTGTCTTTGACAAAGCATGGTATGAAAGCACTGGCTTCATTAATGGATTCACCAAACATTTACTGAATGCATACTAGTTAAGATTTCTACTACTAAATGTCAATGGGTAAAAGTACTGAATGTCAATGGGTATACTACTAAATGTCAATGATTATTCTACTAAATGTCAATGGGTACACTATTGTATGTTAATGGTATACACAGAAAACGGATTTCAATACGTTCTTATTAGCACCTCTTACATGTTGGGCACAGGAGAGGTATTCAGAGGAAAGCACAGGATTTAGAGTAGAACAGGCCAGTGGTTTACTCTAAATCCAAAATCAGCACTAAGATAGTATATTCACAGGGAACTTTCTATTGTTTCTTAGGCTGATCATCAAGATGGAGAATAAAAGGCTTCCTGGCAAGACTGCTGAAGAGACTAATTGCTTATGTCAACATTATAGAGTGAACTTTCAATCAGACAGATGAGATGAGACAACTCACTGATAATTAGCAATGTGAGACAGTGACAAATGCCACACAAACAGAGCAAAAAAAAAAAAAAAAAAAAACAACCAAACAAATAAATGAAACCCCTCTGAAGCTAATGCCGTATTTCTGGCCAGGACAGATTGTACCTAGAATAGTGAAGGGTGTGTAATATTGAACATTTATAAGAGACAAAATAAGTTAAGAACATTTGAGATCATGGTAACAGACACAGGGAGGCTCAAAGAAGCATTTGTGGTGGGGTAGATGGCTTCAGTTTTGCTGCTGTAAAGCACTGACAAGAACACACATGGGCTAGGGTGTGGTTCTATGACAGACACATTCCTGATGTCCAAAATTCCCCAATTCAAACCCCAGAATCTCCTCGGAAGAAAAGAAAAATTACATGGATAATTATAGTTTATAAGTGGCTGGGGCAACACAGAAACTCAGATATAGTGAGGCACCCACTGGGGAGTCCTGGAATAAGGAAGCCATGTTAACTATAGGGAGTTCTGACACTGGGAGAAAAACAAAAACAAAAACCACCTCCCATCAGTAAGCCTTCTTTGTAGAATTCAAAACAGCATTGACAATACTCAATTATGCACCAAGCTCTTACAAGAGCAAACAAAACAAAACACATCAAAACCACCGCAAGGCAATAGAGCCAGATCTTACAGACCTGGGAGGCCTTAGTGAGACAATCAGATACCCCACATGTTCACATGATGAGTAAGGCAACACTACACTTTAAGGAACTATTGGTTCAAAAATGAAGCAACTGTCAGTGAGGCAAAGCAGAATAGTGTGGGTGCAGTGATGGGAGAGCAAGCCCACAACTCTGGGTCAGGGCAGCCGGCACACTGAGCTTGGGTATAAAAGGTATGATGCTCTCAGTCTCTCTTCCCAGGTATTAGTCTCACCTCCATAAGAGGGAGGTGAGGCTGGGACATAGCTGACTGATAGACAGGGCACTGTGTCTGGGATGAAAAACAGGAAGATGATCTATAAAAGGAACAAACAGAAACTAATAAAACTACTATCATTATAACTGCTTAAACTTTTTTCTTAGCATATAAAAGAGAAATCTTGTAAGTTAATAAAGTTTTTAAAAATTATTCTTCATTAGGGTAAAAAAATACAGTTGAACAAAACCTACTCTCAGTAAGTAATAGCTGCCTTGATACCATAAATCAAGAAGAAGCCTTCCCTGACTGTAAGCTGGATAATTAAAAAATAGTATCACTAATGCCACCTGCTATTGTGTAGCTCACTGTGTTTAAGAGAAATTCTACCTACTAATTAATAAGCTCTGATTAACTTACTTTAATATACACTTAGAAAAAGAACTAGTCACTTCAACATAATTACTATTATATATTAAGTTTCTTTGAAAACTCAGTTCTCTCAAACAGGTAAAAATTTCCACTATAATTCTGTTCAATTATTAAATCTGTCCTCCAAGAATACTATAAAAAGCATTCCATTTAATTCCATCCGATGAGATTGTGATAAATATTAATTCCTGGCATAAAAATGGACTAAAAAAAGATATATTAGGATTCAGAAGCTATATTACTACCAGTTAATTCTTTGACTTTGTGGAAGTTTTACACGTGGAGGTCATATGTAGACAGTGAAAGAGAAATGTCCACAGAGGATGTCAAACTTGATGACTTCGTCTCTACCCACAAGGGCACTTCTACTCACTGGTAGGATCTTAGACCCAAAGGAGTATAGTACACATTTTTCCAGGTTGTCAGTAACCGGAAAGCAGCCTTAAAACCTTACCTGACAGGTCAGGCTTTGTGTCTTATGCCTATCACCTCAGCACACACAAGTGTAAAGCCACCCTGGCCTACAGTTAAGATCCCATCCTTCAAATCTACTCACCTGTCTGTTAGTCCATAAGCCAGGTCAAGCATGTCATTCTCCTCGTCAGTGATGGCATCTAGCTTCTCATATATATGATCCTCAAAGATAAGGTGACAGGTAGAGCAAGCCAAGGTCCCCTCACACGCACCTGTAAGAGCAGCAGGGGCGGAACATGCCATGCATCACTGCAGCTGTGCACACCTGTGCAATTTTAGAATCAGCTACAATTCTCAACAAAAGGGCTTCATGACTGAATAATCATGAGTCAGGAATAGGTCCTCCACCCACACATACTGTCTGAAATCACTCACACAGTACTGCACAAAGGTTCTGAACACATCCTATGAGGGGACCATGAGCTCATACAACTCTATTATTAAAATGTATTTAAGTTCATAACTGAGACACACAACACATGAAGACATATTCTGAAATACATACAGCATGATATGTATAATCAGATTCACATACTTCACCTTGCCTAAAGAGCTCAAAATAACTGGTAAGGACTTGCGTTATCCAAGAGAAAGCAACTACTCTTCACCTAAATAAAGTTAGATACTCTTCCCTTTCAATCCTCTAGCCAGGCTGAATTAAACAGACATTTTAAGAAGCACCACAGATTTAAATAATGTGTTCCATTTTTAAATTATATTTATTCAATATCTGTGTGTTGTATGTGTACATGCATATGTGTTCATGCATGTCACGGAGTGAATGTGGAGGTCACTTGTGAAAGTCAGTTCTCTCCTACCACCATGTGAGTCTCAGTGACCAACTCTGCTCACTGAGATGTGACCAGATGTGGTGGCCAATGCCTTTACTAACTGAGCCCTCTTAACAGCTTCTTGTTCCATTTTTAAACCATTAAGTTAACAGTTATTTATTCAGTCCTTGTATGTGCCAGGCACCTCACAAAGAAGACTAACAAAATCATGCCATCCGTCCAAATCAAGACAGAATGCTGAGAAACAGCCTCAGACTTTATTCAGAAATCTCCTCACAAGGAAACCCAACCATATAAGCCAGGGCTTCCTAAATTCTCCCCTCATGACCCACATTTTGTGAAAACATTTTGTGTGACCACAGGTATCCTGGCAAATAAAATATGCACAGAAAACAAACACACAATGTTAACAAATCATAAACTATTTTAAAGCAGTTCTCTCTCTTCTCTCTCTCTCTCTCTCTCTCTCTCTCTCTCTCTCTCTCTCTCACACACACACACACACACACACACAAACTTATACTATTAGAAGTTCACCAGCCAGATAGCCTGGAGAACACAACACAGCAGTAGAAACAAGACCTGCCTACAATGTAGAAGGTGAGAAAGCTTGGTACCATGCACCAGAATACATGTAAGCACACAGAGAGGAAGAGGGGGGGGGGAGAGGGGGAGGAGAGGCGAGAATAGAAGAGACAAGGCTTAGTTTTTATTAAAGCCATTTCAAAACAGTAATCAGGAAGGCCCAAGTAATGAAGCACAAGAGTATATGAGCTCTAGAACCAGACTCCCTGCCTATAACCACTTCTGTTTATTAACTATGTCATGGTAGGCTTCTTTATTCTACATGCGCCAGTTTTCTTAATAGTAACAACACCAACCTCACCTGAGTATAAATTATATGTACTGACAACATACCTGGTAGGTTGTGATAATTGCTATTTGGAAACGGTAAGAAATCTCAGGCTGCTGGGGGCAGGGGGAACTGTATCAAAGGTCTTATCCAGCACTAAACCCTGCATGCTACAACACTAAGCTGTCTGACAGGATGTGCACATGTTACTGTTGGTGAAACAGGAACATGACTGTCATGTTACGAGGTAACCAACAACTTTCTGACTGGATTTTAAACTGGCTTCACAGAAGGGATTCCATGCCTTGTATTGTAACCCTGATCAAAAGTCCATGACAAGACAGATTACAAGTCCTAGGGATTTGTTGTTGTTGTTTTGCTGATTGGTTAAGCTGTCAAACTGCCTTCTAAATGTTCATGTTTCTAACCACTGACTTGTATTACTCTCAACTCTGGTGGAAGTAAGCTTGCTTTTGCAGTAGGCAGTGATTAATGCAGAGACTCATAACCGGTCAAAGTGCCAAAATAAGTAACCATAAGGCTCAAAGAACATTATGGAAGAAGGCACAGAAAGAATGTTAAACATTAGTTGGTAAGGAGGAAAGCTGTTAAAAGGTGACATCTGGACATGACACAGCTGTTGCATATATCAACTCACAGCAGCTGGGATTACCTGCACAAGATCAGGCCAGGCAAAACTCCAGGAAAGATGGAGGAGGAGTTCCTTTGGCAGAGGTACTATTGGCACTTAATAGTTGCTAGGGGAGATAGATTCACTGCTCTTTGAGGACATGACACTGGTAGGATGACCCTATACCCCTCACATATTAGCAGCACTAACTGGTCTCAGAAAGTTATTAATAATCAAGAGGAGGAGGACATGAAGTTCAGAGAAAGACAGGTTAGGAGGCTCTAAAGGAAGCTGGAGGGAAGTAGTGGTGAAGGGAGACAAAAGTACACTGTATACATACATGAAACTTCCACTTTCCATTTATGAAATCTGAGTGTTGCTGACGGATGTTTCCTGTATGAGACTCTTGTATTAAGGTTATCTTGTTCACTTATGATGTTGACAAGAAAACGGGCCACCCACCCATACCCAATCCTTTCCCTAACCAAAACCTAAGATACAGCTGTGTGGGAGGTAACATATTGAAAATGTGAAATTATGTAAAAACGCATTGTCCAAAGGATGATCTACCATATCAGAAATACAACAGTAAACATAACAGCAAGCAGAAATACAGACTTCTATAATCATTACTGGGATCTCTCATCTTGAATAATCATGAAACAGGCACACAAAAAATACAGAAGAAAATTTGAAACGATAAGCTAGATCAATTTAATAAGAGATGTGTAACTGCCCCCAAGTGGCAGAACACTGAAACACACAATACTGAAAAGATCTAACATATAAGGTAGAAAGAACATTTACATATTGTATTGCTTCCTAAGTTTACAACTGTCCATTTTGATTCATTTATTTACTCATTCCTTCATATATAATAAGGACTAAATTGAGAGTGACTGTATCCCTCATCACAGTCCAACGGAAGGAGAATGCAGGGAGTGAATAAATGTAGTACTGAGATGTGGTAAATGTCATGAAAGGATGGTGTGAGGCAAAGCAGTGGGACAGACCAAACAGTGACAAACTATCACAGACTGGGTGCTATAAGCAATGAAAATCTAAAAGGGGTTGGGAGTAAAGGGAGAAACCCCACTAGGGACTAGGTGATTAGGCAAACGAGGATTTCTTTTGTACCTGAACCCAATACTGTACATCCCAGAATCTAGTCATTTTTTCTATAGTATTCTGTCACTGTCTACAATGTGTTTGCCCTGTATGACATAAAGGACTAATACAAACACACTTGATAGACACAGAAGAGTAAATAAGCATTTGTGGGATGGGAGAGAGAAGACTGTGTCTTGGCAGAAATCTGTGCATGAAGTGTCGAGGGTGGTATGAGTTCAAGCTTCTAAGAGGTCAGCATCACCAAAATAGGAAGAACCATGAGAAGTGGAGGAGAGTGGAAGAGCAGTGGGAAGGCATATCATGTGTAGCCTTTTAGGCCAATGAGGAATATGGATTTAATCCTAAGTGCAATGGCAAGTCCTTTGTGGTTTTAGTCAGAGAATTGAGACAGCTGGTGTAGGATGCTCACCCCAGCAGGACTCAAGATTGAAAGCAGGTTCACAGGTCCAGGTATGCAGTGGCTTAGAAGAGCCAAGTAATAAATAAATGGAGGCAGGAGGAGCTTCTGAAGGCTTAAGTGAAAGCAGGTGCTGATGGGCTGGGCGTCCTGGGGGGTGGGGGACCACTACTTAGGGCTCAGCCTGCAGCAGCTGGACAGTGCTCCTTAAGGGTACAGGAAATGCTGAGGAAAGACTGCTTTAGGGGAAGGGAGGGAGGATCAAAAGCTGTCTTAAGAACATGATTTTTACTAGCAACATGGCTCAGTGGGTAAGGGCAATTGTTGCCAAGCCTGACTGATGACTTGAGATTTATGCTCACGGTGCACACTGGTGAAAAAGAACTAACTCTGCAACCTGTCCTCAGCCCTCCACACACATATTATAGCATGGGTGCTCCTATGCTCACACACAAATATTACACACATATGGTGGAGGAGATAAATATTTAAAAAATCAAGACTTGAGTTTTAAATACCTTTGGGATTTCCAAAAATACATGTTAAGTAGGGGGTTGAATTTACAAGTTCAAGGAAAAAACTGAATCAACGATGTAAATTTAATCTCAATCAGCATCTAGGAAGAGCTTAAGGTCACAGAATGAGTGTGATCACATGAGCAGACACTGCAGAAACCATGGCCTTGGTCAGCCCTGTGGGAGCTCGGGTGCTTAAACACTTGAACTCACATAACTGGTGCTGATTGGAAAGATGCTGTGGAAACCTTTGGGAGGTACAGCCTTGCTGGAAGGAACATGACACTGGGTCAGGCTTTGAGTTTGTAGCCTCCCCACTTACAGTTCCCCCCTCTCCTTCACATCTGTGGTTGAAGATATGGTCTCTGAGCTTACTGCCAAGGCTACCTGCTGCCATGTCTCCCTCACTAATTATGGACTTTCCACCTGGAACTGTGTGTAAACCAAGAAAATGTCTTCTTCCATAAATCTTTTGGACAAGAGCGTTTTATCCCAACAGAAAAGATCCTGATAGACTTGGATTAAGTGATTTGGTTACAAGGTAGATAATAACATTAACCCACTCTACTGATGAGAAGACAAGAAGTTATGGCCCTAGCCCAAAGTCACAAGACCGAGAGAGTGACAGAGTGGACAGACAAGCCTAGGCAGGAAAACCCTACTAGGGTTTTCAACCACACCAAAAGGGTTTAGGAAAAAAAAATACTGTTTTAACTTTGACTAACAGTATGAATTTAATTTTACACAAGCACTTCATAAAATAGATAACTATTTCACAGTAAATCCCCTGCGAAAAATGCTGTTTTTCTATGTTCTGTTATTTTTTATTTCTCTAAGTTGCTGGTTAGAAGCAAATAATTGGAGCTGGGAAAATAGCTTGCCTGGCATACACAACATCTTAGGATTACTCTTGAGCATGATAGGAACCAGGCATGGTGGCTCATGTACTCCCAGCATTCAGGGATGGAGAAGAAAGACCAGGAGTTCAAGGCCAGCCTCAGATACATAATTTCAAGGCCAACAGGGGATATATTAGGTCAGGTGTTCATCACAGCAACAGAAAAGTAATACGTAGAGGAACTTTTGTAATAAAAAACTTCCTTCTGGTGTTTTATTCTTAAAACCCTTCTAGAATTGTTTTATACAACTATACAGCCTTATAGTCTATGACTACATTTCAGTTCTCTGTGACGGAGAGCTGTTTTTGCTAATCATTTTTGTTAGAAACATCTCTATAGTAAATTGCCTAGGACAAGCATCTCTTCCTAAAAGTGAAACTCAATCTACAGAGAAAATGACAAAAATAACCTTGTTTGATTACAGCTTTCATCTAAGTGTTCTCAAGGGCTGGAAAAACAGTTTCTTTTATATGTTCTGACAGAGTGCTAACAGCTTCCACATATAGATGTAGGTCTAGAACATGCCAAAGAACACTTGTCACACAGTTTTTAAATCTGACTTAATATTTTAGCTAGTTCCACGACAGCCAGAGCTACCCAGAGACACCTGTCTCAAGAAAAAAAAAAAAAAAAAAAAATACAACTAAACAAAAAAAAAAAAAAAACGGGGTTCGTTTTTTAAAAAATTTTTGTACACACCTTTTTTGTTTTTTTTTCCAAGTAAGAACTATACATTGCTCTTTATGTATCCTGAAGTGTTGTTTTGTTTTGTTTTGTTTTTTTCTGTGCGCATGCAGGTATCACAATGTGAAAACTCTGGGAAAAAGGAGCTCACACTGCCCCCAAGTTTGCTGTAGTTGCTGCTCATTGGTGGTCACTGCTGCTTTTGTCTCCTAGTCATTGTTCTACATAAATCCTCTGAAGCTCCTATTCCTCAGTGTGTGGATCTCAGCTTAGTGGCAAGCTAAATGACTAGCCAGAGGCTTACATGTTTGGTGCCAAGAGGCTCAGGTAACAAAGCAAACCCTTCAATAACCCAGCAATCTGTGTCTTAAGTCTTCACTCCTGCTTGTAAGAGACCTCAAGGTCAGCCAGGAATGAGAGAGTAGAGGCTCATCTTCTAGATCCCAGAGCCACTTAGAGCCTGCTATGGGCATCTCACTCTGTGTAGCTGCCTCTTATTCAGCCCAAGGAGCATCACAAACTAGCAAAGCTGATTATTTTAGGCACATGTTCTAGAGACAAAACTCTCACCACACAGCAACCTGCCAGAATACAGAATTCCCTAGAGTAGAGCTCTTCTAGCAAGCAAGGAAAATAGTGGCGATATTCTGGGCATGGGACTTCTCTGAGTGCTTCAAACCCAGTCTTATGTTCCAGTAGTCACACAGGGGACAGTTTTCACCAATACTAAATTACAGGGCTGCTGCTTTCCATGGATGCTGTACATGTGCAGAGGTGACTGGGGTTGGGGACAGACCAAACTAAAATGTCACAAACATTATTGCTCTTGCCAGACTTAGCTCTGTGATAAGCCCTTCACATCTTGAACAACCCAGTGATGAGATAACTATTATTACCCTTATTTGCCAGAGCATGAAAGTGCACACCAAGACATTCAAGTAGTATGCCCAGGTCTCAGGTGACAATGTTGGTTTGAGAACAACAATCTGATCCCAGAATTTAGTCTCAACTACTGCTCACCACACTAGCACCCTCTGTGAAAGAATACTTTAGCAAAGCTTAACTAAAAGTGCAGTTCAGCTGGACTTGGTGGCACACACCTATGACCCCAGCATTCAGGAGGCAGCTTTTTGGAAGTTACTATTTAATGAGAGGGTTGTTCCTTTTGACAAGAAAAACTAAAACAGCATTAACATGGGGGCTGATTTAATGCACAATTGAGAAAAAGGAGGAGGAAAAAACTAACAACAGTTCTTACAGTAGGACGTGAACAACATAGTCAGGCTTTCATCCCAGAACTTGAGAGGCAAAGGCAGGTGGCTCTGAATTCAAATCCAGCAGGACAGCCAGGGCTATATAGATAGGCCCATCTTAAAACACCCAAAATATAAAAGTTAAAATATTTAGTTCTTTATATAACAATAAACAAGCAAGTACTTGATTCAAAATAAACATAATTTATTACCAGTAAACTGTATACTATATATATTTATATAGTTTGTATAACTATAAACTGTTCACCCAAGGTTGTATAAAATGTCTTAAACAAAAAGGAATTACAAGTAAAAGGATATAAGGAGCCCTGCTCTAGACTGGTGCTTTTCAAATCTATCATGCACCATCCAAATCACAGGAGCAGCTTGTTATAACACACACTGCTAGGCTGGCAAGATGGCTCATCTGGTAAAGGCACTTGCCACCAAACCGGAGAACCTGAATCTGACCCTCAGGACCCACATAGTAGAAAGAAAGAACTACTCCACCAAGCTGTCCTCTGACCTTCACATGTGTTATGGCACAGGCAAGTCCTCACATAAGATGTGTGCACACACAAACAAAATAATAAATAATTAAACATTGCTGGTTAGACTTCCTGAGTCTAAAAATCTGCATTTCCCAGGTAACAAAGATGGCAATGAGCCAAAGAATCCTTGGCAAAGAACCACTTAGGCACAGCCAATGCTCGATTGAGGTGTAATATGGAGGTGTGGGAACACTAGCTTGGTACATATGGTTAGACAATATGGAGGAATTTTCTACATAATACTTTTTTATAAGATATGTTACCCCTCCTGAGAAGGTAAGACAGCATTTAAAATTAAAATGATTCAAAACTGCCCTATGCTATTGTATTTACTACCTCTGACCTATATCTTCCAATTCTTTCTGCTCAGGCTTGCAGCACACAGATAAACAGTAGGCAATGAGCCACAATAAATTTCTGAGTCGTTTAAATTCTTTTCTAAAAGTAAAAAATAAGTGTCTTTCTATTATGCATCTTGGTTTTTTACAGTGTGTATGTGACTGCCTGAGTGTATGCCGTATATGTGCAGGTGTCAGAAAACACAGAAGAGGGGGTAGGATCCCCAGGAGACAGAGTTACAGACAATAATAAGCCAACTGTCTTGGATGCTGGGAACACAACTCAGATCCTCTAAAAGAGCATTATGTGGTTTTAACCACTGAGCTATCTCTCTAGCCTCTAATAATCTTTACAAAAAAAATTATAATATTTACTTAAAATGTCATAGTTTAAAATTAAAAACAAAAACAAAAACACCTGTAACCTTTATAGAAGTTTACCTGGGGAGTTTCAGGAACACTTACCAAAACCATCAATATCTAGATTACTTTCAATCACAACATCTAGCAGAGAGTCACCAACTTTTCCCTTGGCCGTTAACGTTTCACCATCACGGTTCTTGAAGTGGACCGTTATCTTATCTTCTGAGCTGGGAAAGGAAGCAGCGAGCAGTGTCTCAGTATTTTAGTAATTTCAAAAAAAACCAAGATCCAGAAAGGCAGTTCAGTGGATAAAGACTCTTACCACAAAAGCCTGGCCACCTGATTTGGGTCCCTGGGACTCAGTAAAAGGAGGGGAGAGCCAACTCCAGGAAGTGATCATCTGACCTCTACAAATACACTATGGGTGTCCACACACCCATCATCAACATACACAACAGCAGCAAATGAAAGGCAAAAAATCATCTCCCAACCTAACCTGCAGGGTCAAATGAATGAACGTATGTGTAGGAAGAAGCACAAATTGAAGGTCTATTCATCTACCCCACTTACAGAGGGCAAGCTCTGTCACCTTAAAAGAAAACCTCTTTCCTACCCAGCAACTTAGTCGGGCTGTAGAGTTTAGTTTGTCTCCCCACTAGTCACAGATCTGTGAAAACACCCAGCAGTCATTACCGCCCAGGAAGTCTACTGGGTTTTGTCATGGTAGCAATAGTGATTTTGTTTTGGTTTCTATGCCAGAGATTAATCCAGACCCCCAAACATACTAAGCACATACCTCCAAGTTACACCTCAGTTCACAGAACCCATTTTGCTTTCACAAGCTCTTAGGAAAACATTGTCTCTGTGACGGTGGCCCTAAGAGTTCAAGGTTGTTTGTGGTCAGCTTTACAAACACAAGCCATTCTGCTAACCACGGGGTCACCACTGTGCAGGTGTCTGGTCAGTGAGACTCTGGCTCCAAGGGGCAGCTGCTGTACACTTTTGTAAGTCTTTGACCACTTCATTTAAGTCCACAGGGTATATTCAGCGTAACAGAATCCTGGAAAGACGTACACCTTTGCATGTGCTTTTATTATGTTATCTATCATCTAGTTGACCTAAGTTACTTTCCTTTCTACCAAACAGCATTAAAATGTGAGAAACAACCCTTATACTAGCACCTGAAGCTTTCTTCTCCATTAACAAGTCTTAGAAGATACAGACTTAGAATAATTAATTTTAATTTTTGCCACTATCAATAGATGGCAATACCCTCACCCCAAAAGAAGCCAATTTCACCGTAAGTAAAACTGGGATCCAAGTAATTTCAGGGCTAGAAATATCTTTCAGAAGTGCAAATCCAATCACTACATTTCACAAATAAATCAGATGAACATCCTCTCCCAAGTAGTGTTAAGATGGCACTGACTGAAAGGCCCCTGCTGATTAGAAAGGCCAAATAAAAATGTATCTTACAATATCAGTGAAGATTCACATCACTTTGTACAATGCATGTAGTCTATTACTTTCAAACAAAAAAAGAACGGGACGGGGCAGGTTGGGACTGGGAGGGGTGAAGGGAGGGGGCTTCAATCGGGATAGATAATGCATAAATTGTGAAAACAAAATAAAAATAAAAATGTTTGTGTATGTGCCTTCAAAAAAGGGTCTATGGTCCCAAACATCTTTAATTGGTGTGGGAGAGGCCTTTAAAAACAACTTTTTTTACTTGCCTGGCATCACTAACATGTATCAGGATTCAACTCCCAGGACTGTCAAAGAACAGAAAAAGAATTTTCTTGCATGGTTTCAGAGACAGTCTGGAAACACTCTTCTATACCTCAGTCCCAACCCGATCTCTGTAAAGTAAGTGTCCTCATGCCAAGGAACTCTGACTCTACACTACCCAATAGCTATTCTCTATTTTCAAGGTAAAACAGCTGAGAATAACAATAACCCTTAAGGATAGGAATTTCTCTAAAAACTCAAATTTAAAAAGGATTTAAGAGGCAAGGACTTGAGTCATTGGACTATGTAGTAAAATGGGAAGTTTAGGAATCCATGTTTGTACTATTAAGATGCACACACACACAAACAACGGGCAGGGGGGATGTTGATATTTTCAGCTTGGGCTCTTGGGCAGTACAGTTCAACGTAGGAATACTAGGCTTAAAAGACAGCTTTGTGGACACTGAAAATGAGCTAACATTTAGAACTCGCTTGGCTTTTAATACTGGAAAAACCAGATGGGACTGTCCCCAACCTATCCGGCAAAATGAGTTGGAGAACTAGGACACGGACAAATGCCTAGAAGCTAAGTTACAGTAACTGGATGTTTATGGAATTACTCAAAGCCGGGGGCTTTAGGATTTCCCTTCTAGAACACACAAGAGCTAACCTTACAACAACAACAACAAAAAATTTAAACCATTTTAACATCAGTTTCTTGTCAGGACACTTATCTTACAATTTTGACAATGTATAAAATGTCTAAGCCATGGGTAGAGCTCAAACATGAATCAGTAACTTTTATTTAAAGCCCAAGTTCTTATTGCTGCTAGGAACCTAGACTGCAACTATGTACTAAAGCAGTGGTTCTCAACCTAGGGTTTTCTTCCACGACTCTTTCACAGGGATCACATATCAGATATACTGCATATTAGATATTCATTTTATGATTCATAATAGATAGTAAATTACAGTTATGAAGTGGCAACAAAAAATCATTTATGGTTGGGGGTCACCACAGCATGAGGGACTGTATTACGGGGTCACAGCCTTAGGAAGGTTGAGAACCGCTGGACTAAAGGTATGCAACCCTAGTTAACTAATGCTAAAATTAGTAATTGATTTGCTAAAGGATATGGAAGGCAGCATAAATAAGAGAGGAAAGGTAATTCTTCAAGTGAAAGCGCAGAGAGCCTAACAGCCAGAAGAGACAGCTTCTGATCTTGCTTCTAACAAGCAGTATTATGGATGTGACCATGGAAACCACTCCTTATATGCAGGTAAACAGAGCAGTGACTCCACTGATTTGTTTGTTTGTGTTTGTTTTACAAAATTCTACTTATCCTAGGCTGAGGTCCAATACTCCATGTAGCCAAGGATGATCCTGAACTCCTGATCCTTCTGCCTCCACCTCCCAAGTGCTGGGATTGCAAGTATATGTTACCCCATCCACTTTATGTGGCACCAGAAATCAACAGGCTTCACACATGCCACACAGGCACTCTAACTGAGCTACATCCTTAGAATTAAACTGTTTGTAGTTTAACGATTTAAGAGAAACAGTGAAAATAGAGAAAGTGCATGGAAATGTTTCATTGCTAAAACACTGTATGCATGTACTTGACCAGAATTAACTTCTGTCTGTTCCCTGCCAAGGACTGATTGGTCAGTTGTACAGACAAGTTCCCCTACAACAGCTGTGGCCGCATGCACATAGCCTCTTCTAAGAACAGGTAAGATTTCAAGTAGTGGAATAAGGTAACTCTTCTAAACCTTACCAATTAAACAGCGACTCGCTCTGCTCAAGGCCGGCAGACACATTAACAAGGCCACAGCCCTGTAAGTCTTCCCAGGCTTAGTGGAATAAGCTGTGGTTCTCAACCTTCCTAATGCTGTAATCCTTTAGTATAGTTCCTCATGTTGTGGAACTGTATTATTTTGTTGCAACCCTGTAACTCTAATTTGACTGTTATGAACTGTAAGGTAAATATATTTTCAATGGTCTTGGCCAACCCCTATAAAAGGGTTGATACCCCCAAAAGTGTCACACCCCACAGGGTGAGAACCACTGGAGTAAAGGATAGCTGCTGTTTACCCTTTTTGCTACATAACCTGGGTCACTAGCAAGAGAAAAGGGCCAGCCTATGTCTCCCTCCTTCCCACATCACTTTTGCTCTGAAATGACTCATGAAAGTATAAACTAAAGAGCTGCCAACTTTAGCACTTCAGTAGCTCAAAGGCCTGACACACAAGAGGGCCCTGGCTCCATCCACAGCATTACAAGAAAAACTGTCATCTGCTTTTCAGCACAACACCTACTCAAGGTCTAGGCCTGATTTCGCCAGGTACTTAATATGAAAACTTTATTCCCTCACACCTATGTAGCTACTTTGCAGAGTTCTCTTAAAGGTACAGACATAACAGAAATAATATGTGAAAGCCCTTTTTAATCAAATTGCTCCAAAATATCAAGTACTGTATCAGGGCATTTGGGAATAAAAGCTTTTCAATATTCATTCATTGAGAGTTTATATAAATGTGGAACTTAAAACTTAGCCTCTAGAATTACTGTTCAATGTGACTTTGTACTTAAACAGAAATGTCCTACACTGGCAACACCAAGCACAGTAGACACTCAACACATGCTAAATACTTGAAATGTGGTTAGCATAACTGCAAGACAGAACCTTAAATATTATTTAGCTTCAGTTATCCTAATGTTCGATAACCACATATGACTGGGAGCTGCTATATTAAGATCAAAGGTCTGGTACTGTGTCAAGAAGCACAACATCCAAAACCTAACGGCAAAATCATGGGAACCAATTTGCATAAGCACGTGTGTGTCTTTAAATACTAGTTACACTGATTATGTTCAATATGTGTCACAATTTAAATCCAGAAAGCATCTGCCATAGAAATTAAGGCACCTACAGGTGAACAGTTAAGAGATAGTACTCAACAGGTCTCCACCCCACCCCACCCCCATTTCCTGTCACTCATGCAAAATACATATAGGTATGTACATAGGTATGTATACACACACTCTCATTTCCTGCTTTGCTCTACTAGGGTCAAACAAAAGTTCTCTCAAGAAGCTGCATCTGTGGGGAGTGTTCTGCTGACTGACACACCAGACACAGACACTCACGGTTGTGAAGAGATGACTGCCACAGCTCTAGAAACAGCCAGTTATCCTGGGTTGTTTGCTCATGCCCTCCACGGCATCGACACCGGACACTGTTTCTGAGCTTTATCATTATCAGGAAAGTAAGTTTCGAAATGTGTTATCCTAACAGACCATCAGCTTCCAATCCTAACACTAAAGATGTGAGATGGCTTCAAAACCCTGTGATCCAGTTGATGTTCCGTAAGTGTTATCCGACAAGCACATTGATTTGTGGCTCTCTTTAGGCCCGTGACTACAAAAGTTAAGCTCAGTTCTTGCAGGGAGGCACATACAATCCAAGGAAACCTTAATCTGTGTTTCTAAACCATGATCACTCATGGCTTTGAAGAAACTCTCATCTTCCCTTTGAAGCAACAGGTGTGTTTTGCATTGACATTGACAACAGATAATTCTCACAATGTCGCTACACTCAGAAACTGTGAGTAAATATTATCTTCATCAAAGCTAAGGGGATAGTGACTGTGGAAACAAATATACCCAATATCAACCTTCCAGCTGTGGGAGAGATCTGTCACCTCTGTCAACATTTACCACAGAATTCTCTACACTATGATTCCAAGAACTGTTTCTAAGTGGCAGCTGCCTGCTGAGCCCCATTTTCAATCAGATTGCAAGACCAACGTCCCCTGTACCGAGTCATTTATCCGTTAAACCACCCTGTAGGGACAACACTGATATCCTAGGTATACAAAGACTGAAGGTAAGCCAGTGCGGATTTAAACCCTACCCTACATTCCCACTAGGCAGGCGGTCCTAACCCTTCCCAGGCTCAAGGCAGCACAAAGGGCAAGCGTGGGCTAGCCACGCCAAGGGAGCAGCCGCGACAGTGAGCTCGACAAGGACACCCGCCGAGGAAGCCCCAGGGCCGGCGCCCTACACCGCCGGGGCCAGGCCGGGACGGCTGGCGTCAGGGGAAGGGCTCTCAGGCGCCGGGCCAGCCGCCGGCCGGCGAGGCGGAAGGGAGCTGCCGGCGGAAACGCAGGCCGCGGGACGCCGGGACCCGCCGCCGCCGCGCCTCACCTGCTCCGCGCGGGCGCAGACAGGCTCAGCGGCCGGCCTGGCCCTCCCTCCGCACGCACGACGGGGCTCGGGGGCCACTGAGCGACGGCAGTCCCCGCGCGGGCCCCGCAGAACAGCAGCCGACGGCGGTCCAGGCCACGGAAAGCGACGGAGGCGCAGGCGGCGCGCAGGAGTCGGGCGCCCGGAGCGGCCGCCATGGCCCGATGCGAAGGTTCCGGGTCTCGTGGGGTCCTGCGCAGGAACTGCTGAGGGTCCCGCGGGTCCCGCTGCGAGCGCTCTGCCCTTCCGCGAGCGCCCGGCGTGTCCTATAACCCGCGGCCGCGCCCCGCAACGCCGCTGCCACGCCTACGCGGGGCGGGGCCGAGCATGGCTCCCGGGCTCCGGTTCTGAGTTCACCTTGAACCTTTTCTGCAAGTCAGCTCTGCACTCAGCAGCAATTAGTTACTTACTTGCCGAGGACTGACCCAAAGGCCACCCGGTTAACCGAACCGCCTTTTGCGCCGCACTCTCAAAACAGAGCAGGACATCGCGGTTCCAACACCGAGAGTTCAAGTTACAGTAAAAGGGACCTAGGTTTTTCCCACCCAGGACAGCAGTTTTACAAAGTTTTAAAATGCCAGTCGGCGTTTTTATGAAGAGAGGCACAAATAAAAGCATAAGCCATCTCATAACGAATAATCTGCTATTTAGGGCTGCGGGAGAAAGCAGGTAATAATGCTCGGCCTGGAACTGACGAGCTGAGTATATAAAACCTGAAACTCAACAGTAAACATTTTTTTTTTTTTTAATGAGTAACTATTTCGACAGACTTCAAAACTAGAAAACCGATTTTTAAACCGCATGTTGTCATGATGGTAACTTGTGAAAGAGTCTTTGAGGTCAAAAAAATGGAACATTCAAACCCAAGTCCTATGTCAATCAGAGACCTTGGATAAATATCTCTTGGTGGATAGGAATTTCCGTGACTCACAGATAAGTTCACACTCAGGGCCGTTTTGGAGGTTAGGTGAATTAGTGCAACAAACTGCGTCACAAACCATGAGCAATAAATACATTCTCTTGGACATTACTGATAAGGACAGAAGCACATGTTGCAAACAAGCTGGACATGGTACAAGATTACTTGAATATTCAAGCTGGGGCTGGAGACATAGCTAGGGGGTTAAGAATACATGTTTCTCTTGCGGAGGGCCCTGGGTTCAGTTCCCAGTGACCACAGAGCAGCTCACAGCTCTCTGTAAGTCCAGTTCCAGGGGATCCAAAGCTCTCTTCTGGCCTCCTTGGGCACCAGGCATTCACGTGGTTCAGGCAAACACATACATCCGAGAAGAGAAGGAGCATTTCTCCGGCTGGAGAAATGGCTCACGAGTGAAAGGCACTTCCCGCACTTGTAGCAGACTATCTCAGTTTGTTTCCAAGCACTGACCTGTAGTTTGCTCCCAACTGTAACTCAAAGCTTCACAGGAATCTGCCCTCCTGCAGCTACCGGCACCTACTACACGTGTGGCACACACACACACACACACACACACACACACACACACACACACATTTATAAAATAAAAATGAATATTATTTTTAAAAAAGAATATTCAAGGACTGGATAAATGGCCTGGGAGTTAAGAACAGTTGCTGCTCTTCCAGAGGACTAGAATTTAGTTTTCAGCACCCATAGTCAGGTAACTCATAAATGCCTGTAATTGCCTTATTCTGACCTCCTAGATATATGCTCACACCTAAGTAAAAAAAAAAAAAAAATCCTTTACAAAAAAAGGAATATTTAAAAATCTCATACCCCTGGGCAAAGTCTCTCTAGAGGATTATGGATACTGAACCTGCAGAGGGTAGACATAATTACCTTAGTCTTTGAGTTAAAATAATTTTAAAACTAGGGTTAGAAAGGGATCAAGAAATCTTGAAGAGAAGGCTTTTGTTGTTGTTGTTGTTTTACTCCTAAATCCAAAATCTTCATCATCAGATGGTTCAACCATAGGAGAACTGGGTGATGCATGCATTCCTTCTCAGCCCTCTTGCAGAAGAACAAGCTTGCCTAGCTTAAGGAACGACATTTGCTTTATAGGGTGTGATAAGGTAGTTGGGCAGTTTTCTTAATAGTCTGATATATTGAAGGCTTCACTTAGACATAAAGAATAAGCTGATATTGCCTGGTAACTTTCTCCCACAGCATTAGAATTCAGGAAGCATCTTCATAGAGATTAATGATTGGAATTGTTCTCTAGACTTTGAAGGGTGGGTGAGGCCACTCTAGGAATTGGAGATACAGACATTTAGCAGAGCTCCAGAGGGAGTGGGAAACAGGGGTTGTAAACACAGGTCAAGCAACATAGAATCTTTGCAGACTTGCTGTTGCCAATGTGCTGCCCTGTCTATAAAGTGCCACCCCTAATCTCTTCCTGACAGCCCCATCCTACCCCTTAACTGGCCTTGGGTTGGCAATTAAACTTTAACATGGATCTTGGAAGGAACACATTCAAACTACAGAACTTTGCTGCATCCAATAGTTTCCATTGAGTCAATCACATTCCTCCCAACAGATCACTCCTCTTGCACCCAAGAGCTACAATACCTTATTTATCCTCATAGAACGTAGCATCTCCTCTGTTTCAAATGGGGTGAAGCTTCTAAAAAGTGCTGTGTAAAGTATAAAACGTCCTAGCAATTCTGTTTCCTGAGCTCTGGGGATTCCTGGGACTTTTAGTGTTGCCAATCGTTTAAGTTGCCCATGCTCGTGAAAGCAACCTTAATTAAATTCAACTTGTCATTGAAAAAAGAAAAAAGAAAAGACATCCAGGATATAAAGTAGGAGAGGTGGTTAAAGGCACTTGCTGCTTTTGCAGAAGACCAAGGTTCAGTTCCCAGCACCCACCCAACAGGTGACAATCCTCTAGAACCCTAATTCCCGGGCGTCCAAACCCTCTTGTGGCTTCCACTGGCACTAGGCATGTACATTATGCAAATACATACAATGCAGGAGAATACTCATACACACAAAATATAAATAAATATTTTTGAGACATAGAAGGAGGAGGAGGATTGTTAGGAAGGAGGTACTCGGGTAGAGGGAGTAGAGGTATTAGAGTATAAATGTGAAGGTGAATATGATCAAATGCATTATATGCATATGTGAAATTGTCAAAGAAAAATGAAAAAAAAATTATAGAAATTGGTGAGTGCTAGGCAGATTGCTCACCAGTTAAGAGCACGTGCTGTGCTTGTAAATGAAAAAAAAATAATAATAATGAAAAGACATGATTGTTCCTAGGCATGGTGGAGAAGGCTTATTTTAGATAAGAGGAAGAGAGCACATCCAGAGGCATCTGGAAGAGTCTAGACGGAACCACACCTCGGAGGGGTGTGGCAAAGAGGAAGAGAAGAGACAGGGACCAGGAGCCAAGAGACCAGGAGATAAAGAGGCAAAGAGGTAAAAAGGGCAATGTAGCTAAATGGCTGGGTTATGTAGAGGAGAGAAGCCTAGTCCTTGGTTGGGAGAATTTAGGGTAGGATGCAGCATATGCCCGCCAGGATCCTTTGTAACAGGCGCTGAGAGATCCTGGGAGAACCCAGGTCTGCTTGGTTATGTTAACCTGGGTTGGGCATTTGTCCTGAGTTTGAGCCCTAACACTGGAGGGTGCACAGCTGCCTGTAACTCTAGCTCTAGGTTCTCCTATACCCTGTTCTAGCTTCCAGGAGCACCTGCACTCATGTGCACATACCCAGATCTACGCGCAATCAAAACTAACACAATTTTTTAAAATTAGCAATTGGGGGCTAGCAAAATGGTTCAGGTGCTAAAAGCACATTTTGCCTCCCTGACAATCTGAGTTTCGTCCCCAAACCCATATGTTGGAAGAAGAGACCCAACTCCTACAAGCAGTCCTCCACCTCCATACTTATATCATGACGTGCATATGTGCCTCCTCACAATTATACATTCATACACTTTAACATGTGTTGTATTTTGCGTCAATATTTACTATTGATATATATTTTTAGTAAAGCTGCAGTTAATCCTAAATAGCTGTATAACCAAATCACCACACAGAGACTGGGATTTATTTAGTTAACTTAGAACACAATGCTGGGCAATAGTTACTCCATCCTAAACCTCCAAGCCCGCATAGTTCCTACTATTCAGGTTTTACCCATTATACTTGCTTTTAATGATATATTAGGTCTGGTTCATTTCTCCAACTTGTTCCAAGACCTCTCCTCCAGCTTCTCTCCTCTCTCTCCTCCTCTGCCTCCCACTCCCTCCTGTCCTCTGGCTCCTCCCCTCTCCCTCCTATTCCTTCCTCTCCATTGCTTAAAATTGTGGCTGGTTGTTTTATTTTGGCATGTTTACACAAAGTTGAGACAGGTGATGCTTAGAATAAGTATCACAATGCAACGTCCGGATTGAAACCAGAGAGTTGGGGAGAGGAGTCAGCATTTGAATGAACAAGGGTAAGGTGTATACATTCCAAAAGAACATTATACTAACAAACATGTTTTGTAAAAGGCAATTAGATTTCATCTTCTGTCCATGTTCTAAGTGTTTTGCCTTGCCTTCCTATTACACAGTTCACCATAGATGTATGTATCCCGATGTTTGCAGTCCTTCTTTAGGCAACATTAAAGAGAAATTTGGGGGTGGCAAGGATTCATACTTCAATTCGAAACTTGATTCCCTGGTGTTTTGGTTGCTTTTTCACCGTTGTGACCAAACACCTGGCAAAAATCAACTGAAGGAAGTTTCATTTGAGGCTCACAGTTCAGAGGGACACAGTCCATCGTGTGGAATGGCATGGAGGAAGCAGAGAGAAAAATGTCTTAGTTACTTTTTTTATTATTACGTAGAGACATCACGACCATAACATAAAACATTTGTTTGAAGGCTCACGGTTACAGAGGGTGAGCGTCCACGATCATCATGGTGGTAGGCACGGCAGCAGGCAGGCGGGCATGGTGCTGCAGCAATAGCTAAGAGCTTATGGGGTTTTCTTTCGTTAACACGGCTTTCTTAGACTGGGCCTAGGTTAGCAGAGAGAGGCAGTAAGCCTCACAAACAACAACTGGAACAGATGAATAAAACGTACAAACTCACATACTAGTCCACAAACAAGAGGCAGGAAGAGGTAGCTAACTGGAAAATAGCATAGGTTTTTAAAACCCCAAAGCCCACCCCACAGTGACACACATCTTCCAATAAGGCCACACCTCCTAATCCTCCTCAAACAGTTCCACTAACCAACCAACCAATCAACCAACCAACCCAACTAACCAACCAATCAGCCAAGCAAGCAAGCATTCAAATATGTGAGTCTATGAGGGACATTCCCATTCAAACCACCATAGGTTTCTTGGCAGCTCAGAACTGCTGCCACTCACTGAGCGAGTCTTCACTCAGTTAAAACTTTCTAGAAATACCTGCATATCCTTGTGCAGAAATATGGCTCCTAGTGATCCCAAGTGCAGCCAAGTTGACAATGAAGATTAATCTTTGTACCTGGTGAGATGGAACTTTGAAAACTTATGCTGGACTTTCCTGTCCAGAAGTAGAGGCAGCAAGACCCAGTAGCCTAAAAACAATG